TTATATGGTTGATTTGGGCCCAAGAAACATTTCTTATAGCAATGTTGAAAACAATTGTGCTACCTATTTTTTATTTTTTTTTTGGAAACCTTGATACATTTATTTTCCAAGATTCATGGATAAATAGAAAGTTCATAAGAACAGTATTTATTTGAAATATTTTTATAACAATGTAAAAGTCTTTACTGCCATTTTTTAAAAATCAATTTAACGTGTCAAGTATTCACTTCTTCTTATAAAAAATCCCTCTTCACCTCAAACCTTTGAAAAGTAGTGTAGATGAGAAGCTGATTTCAAGTTGGTTGACGCTGCAGAAATATAAGTCAAGCAACTAACCAAATGTAGATTTGCTTGTCACGGCTGTAATTCGAAATTCGAAACATTGCTTGTTGGATCTGGTTAGCATATGGTTTTGTGAGGGAAAATAATACTACTTTTGTCCAAATACATTTGTCTTTCACCTCAGGTAGCAGAAGCAGTGGCTCCAACCCCAGCGCTGGGAAAGGACGGAGACCCTCCCCTCGAGAAAAGGACCATAAGGCACCGTGCTGTGGGGGCAGCGAATCAGAAATGGGAACGTGGGTCGGAAGGAGGGGTGAGAGAGCACCCAGTCAGCTAAGTCATCAAAGCCACAGCCGCTCTGCTGCCAGTCAGGCCCACTCCAGCCACAGCAACGCTCATTCTGGGTACAGCCACGGCCAGTGTCACAGCGTCTTGCAGCATAGCCACAAGTTCACCTACAGCCATGCCCCTTTCATTCAGCCCAATCATCTGTCCTGTGCCCACAGTGAGAGAAGTCACGGCTCTTCGTACGGCCCACCGGGTCTGCCCCCTCCTTACTGCCTCGCTCACCTCGCCCCCAAAGCGGCAGCAAGCAACAGCCCACCTGGGGCTCCTCCCGTCCGGGAGCTAGCAAACGTCCCCCCAGAACTCACAGCTAGTCGGCAGTCTTTTCAACACGCTATGGGCAATCCTTGTGAATTTTTTGTTGATATTATGTGACAGGAGAGTGCCTTCAACCCATTCAGAGCACAAGGCCTACTTCCCGCAGTTTGCTTAATTTAATTTTTCCTACTGACGATCCCTGCACTGAGAATGTACAAACTAGTGATGGGTCGTTCTTGAACGATTCGTTCATTTTGAACGAATCTTTAATATGACTCGGGAATGACAAGTTGTTTTAGCAAGGGATTCGTTCATTTCGTGTTGACCGCGCATGCGCAACAGCCAATAGGTTTTGTACAGGAAACCGAAATGATTAGTGCAACTCTCGGGTTCGAGTCGTTCGTTCCTCACGTGACAGCCCCATAGACTAGAGGCTATGCAGTCAGTACCGGAAAGAGAAATGATTAGTTACTTTTCGGTAAAGACTGCTTTCATTTAACCTTACAGGGATGTGATGTGACAAAAGAACGAACGACCCGAAAACTAGGGAGGTGAGGTGAACTAACAGACTGCACAGCCAGCTAAGCAATGAATTAATCATTTCAGTTTTTTTATAATTTGGCCTTGGTTGCATTATAGTTTATATAATGTGATCAGTGTTTGCGTAAATAGATGTGTTTGGGAATTTGGATATTAACATGTAACATTTTAATTATATTCTGCTGAAATGAACAAAATTACTTGGAAAAAGAATTCGTTCATTTTGCTGAACGAGATTCAAAGATCCGAGTCAGTAAAATGATCCGAACTTCCCATCACTAGTACAAACTAACAGCCCAATTTAAAGCATTTAAAGGGACAGTTCACCCAATACTGAGTTCTGTCATTTACTCTCAATTATGCACATGTAGAGTTTCTTTCTTCTGTGGAACAAAAAATTACTGTTGTAATTGTTAACTAACTATCTATTAAAAATTGTTTTCAGTAATTGAAATGAAGCTGAAATAAAATATAAATGAAAATGAGAAATGTTGCCTTGGAAACAGAAGTCCTAAAATGATTTAAACTAAATAGAAATATTAAAATTGAGTCAAATAACAATGACAAATGCACATAATAAATAATAATTATTCTATTAATAAATATAATAAAGTAATAATATGCATAATAAATATTACTAAAACGTTCAAATTAAAATGAAAACTGAAAATATAAAAATAAAAGCTATTCAAATATTAATAAAATGGTATAATGGCATATAGACAATACTAAAAGAACACTGCTATTTTTATATATATATGTTTTTAATACTGAGCATATTATTCAGAATATCCTGACAACTCTTTTAATTGGAGTGACTAGGGACTGGGGCAGTCAAGCTACAAATTGACCAAAAATAACAACAACAACAAAAAACATAAAAGTATCATAAAAGTAGTCATAAGAAAAAGGAGATTATAATTTATTAACAGCTTAGCTTCCTGTGGCCAAAATATATCATATGTCTTCAGAAGACGAAATATAGCCCACTATGTTGCATGGACTATACTTTTTCTTTTTCTTTTTTTGTCATTTCGGAGCTTGACAGCCCCCTCTTCACCTCAAACCTTTGAAAAGTAGTGTAGATGAGAAGCTGATTTCAAGTTGGTTGACGCTGCAGAAATATAAGTCAAGCAACTAACCAAATGTAGATTTGCTTGTCACGGCTGTAATTCGAAATTCGAAACATTGCTTGTTGGATCTGGTTAGCATATGGTTTTGTGAGGGAAAATAATACTACTTTTGTCCAAATACATTTGTCTTTCACCTCAGGTAGCAGAAGCAGTGGCTCCAACCCCAGCGCTGGGAAAGGACGGAGACCCTCCCCTCGAGAAAAGGACCATAAGGCACCGTGCTGTGGGGGCAGCGAATCAGAAATGGGAACGTGGGTCGGAAGGAGGGGTGAGAGAGCACCCAGTCAGCTAAGTCATCAAAGCCACAGCCGCTCTGCTGCCAGTCAGGCCCACTCCAGCCACAGCAACGCTCATTCTGGGTACAGCCACGGCCAGTGTCACAGCGTCTTGCAGCATAGCCACAAGTTCACCTACAGCCATGCCCCTTTCATTCAGCCCAATCATCTGTCCTGTGCCCACAGTGAGAGAAGTCACGGCTCTTCGTACGGCCCACCGGGTCTGCCCCCTCCTTACTGCCTCGCTCACCTCGCCCCCAAAGCGGCAGCAAGCAACAGCCCACCTGGGGCTCCTCCCGTCCGGGAGCTAGCAAACGTCCCCCCAGAACTCACAGCTAGTCGGCAGTCTTTTCAACACGCTATGGGCAATCCTTGTGAATTTTTTGTTGATATTATGTGACAGGAGAGTGCCTTCAACCCATTCAGAGCACAAGGCCTACTTCCCGCAGTTTGCTTAATTTAATTTTTCCTACTGACGATCCCTGCACTGAGAATGTACAAACTAGTGATGGGTCGTTCTTGAACGATTCGTTCATTTTGAACGAATCTTTAATATGACTCGGGAATGACAAGTTGTTTTAGCAAGGGATTCGTTCATTTCGTGTTGACCGCGCATGCGCAACAGCCAATAGGTTTTGTACAGGAAACCGAAATGATTAGTGCAACTCTCGGGTTCGAGTCGTTCGTTCCTCACGTGACAGCCCCATAGACTAGAGGCTATGCAGTCAGTACCGGAAAGAGAAATGATTAGTTACTTTTCGGTAAAGACTGCTTTCATTTAACCTTACAGGGATGTGATGTGACAAAAGAACGAACGACCCGAAAACTAGGGAGGTGAGGTGAACTAACAGACTGCACAGCCAGCTAAGCAATGAATTAATCATTTCAGTTTTTTTATAATTTGGCCTTGGTTGCATTATAGTTTATATAATGTGATCAGTGTTTGCGTAAATAGATGTGTTTGGGAATTTGGATATTAACATGTAACATTTTAATTATATTCTGCTGAAATGAACAAAATTACTTGGAAAAAGAATTCGTTCATTTTGCTGAACGAGATTCAAAGATCCGAGTCAGTAAAATGATCCGAACTTCCCATCACTAGTACAAACTAACAGCCCAATTTAAAGCATTTAAAGGGACAGTTCACCCAATACTGAGTTCTGTCATTTACTCTCAATTATGCACATGTAGAGTTTCTTTCTTCTGTGGAACAAAAAATTACTGTTGTAATTGTTAACTAACTATCTATTAAAAATTGTTTTCAGTAATTGAAATGAAGCTGAAATAAAATATAAATGAAAATGAGAAATGTTGCCTTGGAAACAGAAGTCCTAAAATGATTTAAACTAAATAGAAATATTAAAATTGAGTCAAATAACAATGACAAATGCACATAATAAATAATAATTATTCTATTAATAAATATAATAAAGTAATAATATGCATAATAAATATTACTAAAATGTTCAAATTAAAATGAAAACTGAAAATATAAAAATAAAAGCTATTCAAATATTAATAAAATGGTATAATGGCATATAGACAATACTAAAAGAACACTGCTATTTTTATATATATATATGTTTTTAATACTGAGCATATTATTCAGAATATCCTGACAACTCTTTTAATTGGAGTGACTAGGGACTGGGGCAGTCAAGCTACAAATTGACCAAAAATAACAACAACAACAAAAAACATAAAAGTATCATAAAAGTAGTCATAAGAAAAAGGAGATTATAATTTATTAACAGCTTAGCTTCCTGTGGCCAAAATATATCATATGTCTTCAGAAGACGAAATATAGCCCACTATGTTGCATGGACTATACTTTTTCTTTTTCTTTTTTTGTCATTTCGGAGCTTGACAGCCTGTCCCCATTCCCTTCTATGATATGCAAAGGAACGAACAGGATATTAAAAAAAAAAAAAAAAAGTACTTTTTTTTGTTAAACAGAAGAGAGAAGATATTCGAGGGGAAAAAAACAAGAGTGAGCAAATGACAGATTTTTCATTTTTAGGTCAACTCTTTCTTTAAAGGAGTACTTCACTTCCAGAATGAAAATTCTGTCATCATTCACTCACCCTCCACTTGTTCCAAACCTGTATGAGTTTCTTTCTTCTGTTGAACACAAAAGAAGATATTTTGAAAAATTTTGGTATCTGAACAGTTGATGGGCACCATTGACTTCCATAGTAGGAAAAAAAAATACTATGGAAGTCAGTAGTGCCCATCACCTGGATACTAACATTTTTCTAAATATATTTTTTGTGTTCAACAGAAGAAAGAAACTTTCTTGAGTACATGACAGAATTTTCATTCTGGAAGTGAACTACTCCTTTAACGTTGATTCAATGTTTTTTCAATCATAGAAAGATACTAAAAAAAAAAGCACAACTGCAGAGTTAATTTACTCTGACACAAAAACTACAGTACTGCAGTAGCAGCACAAGATACCACAACTAATAAGCGTTTAACAAGAATGTCAGACTGCCTGCTTCTTATGCTCGAAGCAGCATGTAGCTGCTCTACACTTTGCACAAGTTACAAGCCAGAAAACTGGCATGACAGCTCTTGAAACAGTCTGTACTTTTAAATGTATCCATGCGGTGGATGCTTTTTTTTTCTTACACAGTTGCATTTGACTTTACATTCACAGAGTCATAACCCTGTTGACAATCAGACATTATAACATCATAATGTCCCTAAACATTGTTGAATGTATTGTCTTGTGAGGCTACAACTCAAAATTCCCTCATTAGCTTGATAGCATGTTAAGCAATCATTAAATAAATGCTTGGACGTGTTCATTTTAGACTCATGGTTGCCAAATGTTGCAAAAATACCCGTCATGAACTCTAAATGTACATGATACATTTTAACAATAACAAACAGGTGCTTTTCATAGAGTACGTGAACTGACTGTTCAGATGTCACCAGTTGTCTTAGCATTTACCACTGTATTACGACCGTCACTGTACAGTTAATGCAGTAGACTGGTAGTAGGCCCTGTAAGTTATAACATAGATATTAAAACAGGCAGATAGGCTAACCAAAGTCCCTTGAAAATTAGTGAGTCATGATTTTTGTTCTAAAACAGTTATTTTTATGGAGGAAAGGTAAAATTTACTGGTAAAGCAGTGAGGTGTTGTCTTTGTTCGTAGTGTTCCGTTCCATGAACTGATCTATCTGCCTGAGCCAAAACAGGAAAGAGTAAGAGTTTGTCAAGCACTTTTGAAATGTAACTTCTGGGCCCTTTAGAATGAAACACTGATTGCAGTGAAAGCTGTTTGCTTTTTTGTTTCTTCACAAAAGAGGAATAATAAATTGTAAATATGATAACATAAATATATTATATAAATATATATATGAAACTGAAAATAAACTTTTAAGTATTAAGAAGTGGCCAGCCATTGTCTTGAAGTTGTTTTTTTTCTTTATTCATGAACAAAGCTTGTTACAAAAGTAGCTTATTTTGGTCTGCTGTCTGGCACCATCAGGTCTCCAGTATTTGCTATTTGGCAGAAAACATTGGCGTGTCTGGTAAAAGCTTAGGGCGGTGATATCATTTTTCACTATCTGTGTTTTGTCTGCATGATTTGTGCTGCCAAAACACCGGATCATTTTCAAAGAATAGATGTCTCCTGTCTACTCATAATTGTCCTGTACGCCCATGATTATACCATTTTTTTTTTTTTTTAGACAAGCTATGTGGTGTTATGAAACTTGTGAGAAGGTATCATTTTTACATCTCTGAAGCATAGTTTCTGATGGGGATCATATCTCCAGAGTTGAGCTGGAGTAGTAAAACAACATATATTCCACGTTGAACCAATGATCAGAAAAGTTTCTCAAAACTAAACTTCATACCAAAACTTCAGACATAAATTAAACAAAAATTTATTCTGAATAACTGGCAGTGTTGAACACATTGTTGACATCAATTGTCATACTGTTTTCCCAAATATGAATAATAAATTACATACCTTAAGTCATAAAGTCATATAGTGAAGATTAATAAAGTGTGTGTACTGTAGTGCAGGCCATATATATATATATATGTCTGGAATGGATGTATTCTTGAGTCTATAAGGTAACAATAATATAATAAGATAACCTTGTTTGAAATGGGTTTGGCTAAAATAAAATTTTGGTTTCGTCTATACTACTAGGTACTTATACTATATTGACTGGGTTAAATAGAATTGCATTTCTAAAAAGAGACTAAAATACAATTTTCATTGACTAAAACTAGACTAAATGTCATCAGTTTTCGTCGACTAAAACTAGACTAAAATGCTCAGACTTTTAGTCGACTAAAACTTGACTAGACTAAAAAGAGTATGAACGTGACTAAAACTAATAAAAACTAAAATGACAGTTTCACACAAAGACTAGATTAAAACTCAAATTAAAACAGGCTGCCAAAAACAACACTATGTCGAACCCTGAAGCAGATGGACTACAGCAGCTGAAGATCACACCGGGTGCCGCTCCTGTCAGCTAAGAACAGGAAACGGAGGCTACAATTCGCACAGGCTCACCAAAATTGGACAATAGAAGATTGGAAAAACGTTGCCTGGTCTGATGAGTCTCGATTTCTGCTGCGACATTCAGATGGCAGGGTCAGAATTTGGCATAAAGAACATGAAAGCATGGATCCATCCTGCCTTGTCTCAACGGTTCAGGCTGGTGGTGGTGCTGTAATGGGGTGGGGGATATTTTCTTGGCACACTTTAGACCCCTTAATACCAATTGAGCACAGTTTAAACACCACAGACTATCTGAGTATTGTTGCTGACCATGTCCATCCCTTTATGACTACAGTGTACCCATCTTCCGATGGCTACTTCCAGCAGGATAATGCACCATGTCACAAAGCTTAAATCATCTCAGACTGGTTTCTTGAACATGACAATGAGTTCACTTTACTCAAATGGCCTCCACAGTCACCTCCAAGAATTAAGGCAGTTCTGAAGGCAAAAGGGGGTCCAACCCGATACTAGCAAGGTGTACCTAATAAAGTGGCCAGTGAGTGTATCTATATGTATCTATATATATCTATATATATAGATATATATATATATATATTTATACTACTCAAAAGGAAACACTTAGTGATTAAGTATAACACCAAGTCAATTAAAATATCAGTCTGTCCAGTTAGTAAGCAGATAGAGGCCATAGACAATTGCTCTCTCCTTATCTTTCCTGACTGATTCCACAGGTAGTCCATGTCCTCCAGGATAGGACATCCATAGGTGCTGTCGTAAGGAGGTTTGGTGTGTCTCCCAGCACAGTCTCAGTCTTGAGCGTGGAGGAGATACAGTGCGGTGAGCCAGGCTGTTACAAGAGGACAGCTGGACAGAACTGTAGAAGGGTGACGTTCCCCAGGCATGAATCCAATTGTGAACATCTGGGATGTTATGTATTGGATGTATTGGAGCATCCAAAACTGCATTTTTTTTTACTTTTGATTTTTATATATATATATATATAAATGATCCCCCTGAAAAAAAATCACCCCCTTTTAAATTAATCACATTTTGTTGCTTTGCCGACTGAAATGAAGATGGACACAGTTTTTGTCAGAATCGCTGAGTTGGAAACAGAATCACCCCCCCCTCCTAAAAATGACTTGTAAACTCAATCAGGTGGAGCTAATCAGCTTCTCAATGGCACACAAAGCCATTTGACGTTCAACTGTGATCAGCTGTGATCATTTTGATTAGCTCAGCATGAAAAGAGCTTTCTTGGAGCGTTTCAGTCCTTGGTAGTGCAACTGAAGCAAACAATCAACTGTGGGTGGCAAGGCACTGTCAAAAGATCTCCGGGATAAAGGTGTGGACAGGCACAAGTCAAGAGATGGATACAAAAAAAAATCAAAGGCTTTATCAATGCCTAGAAGCACAGTGAAGTCTATTATTAAGAAGTGGAAGGTATTTGGTACAACACAGACCCTCCCTGGATCAGGACATCGCTCCAAACTGGATGAAAGAACCAGAAGGAAACTGGTCAGAGAGGCTAACAAGTGGCCTACAGCAACTCTGAAGCAGTTGCAGGAAATTACTGGTTGTGTCAAAGC